GGCCGGTCGCGGGCTAGGTACGGGCCGGGCGCGGGCGAGAGACGGGGCCGGGCGCGGACTAGGGACGGGCGGGTCGCGGGCTAGGTACGGGCCGATCGCAAGCTAGGTACGGGCCGGGCGCGGGCGTGAGACGGGGCCGGGCGCGGGCTAGGTATGGGCCGATCGCGGGCTAGGTACGGGCCGGGCACAGGCGAGAGATGGGCCGGGCGCGGGGCTAGGAACGGGCCTATCGCGGTCCTGGTACGGGCCAATCGCGGGCTAGGTACGGGCCGGGCGCGGGCTAGGTACGGGCCGGGCGCGGGCTAGGAAACGGGGCCGGGCGCGGGGCTAGGGGCTGACGGGTCGCGAAGGCTAGGAGCGACGGGCCTAGGGGGGGGGGTACTCGCAGCGTAGCAGGTGGTGGGCCCAAGTAACATGCTCTGATTCCATGTGAAAATAACAAACGAGAATGAATGAACTAGCAAACAGTTGGGTACAATTACTAACCCTAATTGGGTTGTACCCCTTATGGGCTACCCCACTACAGCCTACACAAATGTATAAGCTATAATGTTCTGACACCGGCCAAGCTTCTTGGACGGCGTCGACTTAGAGGAGCGAGTCGGCTGGTCTGATTAGCTGACTTCGGCGGAGCCGTCTTCAGCGGAGTTGACTTTGGTGAAGCCGACTTTAGGGAAGCCGACCACGACGAATTCGACCTTGGTGACGCCGACAAAGTCGGTGAACGGCGGTTGACCACCGACATGGCGCCGACCTACTTCAAAGTTGGCACCGACTTAGCGGCCACATCATGACGACTTGGTTTCCTGGTCGACAAAGTTCCGCGAGGGATCGCGGACGTTGATTATGGGGTTTTGGCGAAGTCGACATGCGGGTTGGTATCCCAAGGTTGACGTCGCACATTTTGCGCAGCTGTGAGCACGTGGCAAACTTAGCACCTGCGCAATGTGTGTGACGATGTACAACGTGCGTGGCCATCGCCCTACACCTGCGAAGTAGGTGCGCGCACATGCGCTTACAGACGCATGCAGTTGCAACGCTAGCATGCCACCTCGTTGCAGCGTTGGCAAGCCACACTGATGTGTTGCTGGCAGGTCGCCAACTTGCAGCGTTAGCAAGCTGCCTTTGAGCTGCACTGGCGTTCCGCTGACTTGCCGTGCTAGCATGCCACCCTTTTGCTGCGCTGGAGGTCGACATTCCAACTGGCTAGGTGGCTAGGTTGAGTAGACACTATTACCCATCTTTTTTGTAATCATTGATAAATGCTTCTACTAGTGAAACTCTTGCTGGTTTCCCTTGTGAACCCACTCGTGAGCAAGTGCTAGAGAGAATGCTACGATCACCCACACCACCCGTGCCTTCACATGTAGTCCCGCTCCCATTGTAGAGTGACTCTCCGCAATTCTATCTCGGAAATAGCTGTCGGAATTTTACTTTCCTCCTTCGGCTTCAAATAACATAGTCTTGCAGTCCACCTTATCCCGAAGTCTCGCACGGGGGCTTGGGTGCTATTTCCCCCCTCCAACAAGTCCTCGCCCTCTCGGCTCAACATGCACTTCGACACTTCGACACCTCCTTGGCCGAGATTATTGCCCATATAACCTCTACGCTCCACGACTTCCTTGTGCATCCGGGTATCCTTAAGCGCAACCACTTGATTACAGAAATCTCCCCACACGCTCTTGCATAACTCCATGCCTTCCTCTCCCTCTCCCTGGAGCTGGAGGTACTGGAGGTGTTGGAGCTGGAGGTGCTGGAGTTGGCGGTGCTGCCGCTGGAGGTACTGGGGGTACTGGAGCTGGAGGTACCGGAGGCTCTGGAGCAGGAGGTAGTGGAGGTACTGGAGGTGGAGGTACTGGTGCTAGAGGTACTGGAGGTTCTGGTTCTGGGGGTGCTACGCAGTCGCGACCGTTTCTCTGGCCACAGCCGTAGTGGTCAGTGCCACCGCCTGACTCGTTGCTTCGCCGGGTGCTCAGTCTTTTGTCTTCCACTGGTGCTACTCCTCCTCTAATGTGTCCACCAACTAACCAGTCCCAGCCACAGTAACAACTTGACTCCCCACTGCTTGCTCCTTCTCCTTACACTGAGTCGACAGACTCCCTGACTGAGCGTCGAGAGCCTGCGTCCTGCCCTGCCACACATGTTCGTACTCGTCGTTCTCCTTGTGTTCGTCCTCCACCTGTCCCTCGCACTCACACTATGGCACTTCGTCCTTCCTCTATTCTCCGAATAGTGCTGCCGTGTGCGCTGGAGGGATGAGCACAAGGACGAACCCCCGTTCGGTTCGCCTCGAACGTGTTCGTTGTTCGGGCGAACACGTTCGATGTTCGCCTATGCCGGTTTGCCGAGCCGCATCGAACACGAACATGTTCGTGTTCGACTCGGGGTGTCGACGAACAGTACGGTGTTCGTCGACGAATTGGCCGCGACCAGATTTAGGGTCGCTGCCAATTCTGTTTGGGCTCTTTTTTTTTAGCTCAAGCTAGTCGCAACTAGGTCGCCACCACCAATCCGCCCTCTACCCAGCCTCACCTAGCACTAGCCTTAGTCCAACAATGTTTCACCAAATCGGCGTCTAGAGGCCGACACTTACTATTAAATTAGGGTTACTATGACAAACGGCCAGGTTGAAGTAGAGTGCCAGCGTTTAGGGTTTCGGACGTTGAATGCGTGGAAAGTGCTACATTTTCCTGCCCGTGCCATCAGCCATAGAGTTACTCAGAATAACGGCAGTGGCGCATCACCCTAGTACTACCATTCACGGTGCCTCGCTGGTGCGTTTGCATTCTATCTAGGATTTTGTCTTTTTAGGGTTTAGCGGGAAATGGCCTCCCACCAGCAACACCCTCCTTCAGAACAGGGTGGGCGCAGCAGTCAGGGCGGTCCTCTAGCGTCTCCACCACGACCTTTGCAGGGCCGAGTAGGTGACAATCCTGGAGGAGCTGCTGCTTGTTTCGTTGGTGGGCTTTTGTCCATTCCAACGCCGACATCCCGTCATTCGTTCCGTTACTCAGGGTCTAGACCCGGCCCTTCTGGGCAGACTCGTACTGCCACTACAGAGAGCGATAGTGAGGCGGACGATGAGGAGGAGGAGGACGAGGAGGGGAACAAGGAGGAGGCTGATGAGGACGTGGAGGGGAGCGTGGATGATAGTGAGGAGGGGTGGACGCCTGAGACGCATGGCAGAGGGGAAAGGAGGGGTGACGAAGATGAGGAGATGGAAGGGTTGGAGCCAGAGGGGGGGGAGGAGGAGGGGGTGGGTGAGGGAGGAAGGGTAGCCGTGGAGGAGGCCTCTCAGCATGTGGGTAGAGGAAGTGGGCGCGATGGGGTTAAGGTGGGGCGAAGGAGGCCGTCCATTGGGAAGCCTCCGCAGAAGAAGAAAGCCGATACGCTCTGGCCTTGAGCGTATCCTTGCACCTTCACTGGGGTTGGCTTGGGTAAGGGTGTGGTCGCTCTTGAGCTTCTTAACGAGGATGGAGGTTCCGAGAGTAGTAGAGGGAGTGGCAAGGGAAAGAAGAAATTTGGGTGGCAAGTGCAGATGTTTGGGCCTAAGGGTGCTGACCACAAGCGGCAGTGCAAGATTTGTACTGACCATATTTCATGGAAGGGGTCCACACCTACACCTGGCGAGTGACACTTTGAGAGCTGGCACACTGCACAGATGGACGTGTGGTATCACCGATACCCCCATCCACATCTGCAGCTGCCTGGCGAGACGTTTCCACGGGGGGGGCTATAAGGGGGTGCCGGATGGTTACGCCTATGAGTGGCCGCATGCCACTAGCTGGCCGAACATACCACAGAAGAAAGGGAAGGCAAGGAGAGGGGTGGAGGGGGGAGCCGGGCTATATGACGAAGAATCTTTCTGGGGTGGAGCTTTGGCAGGCGATCGCCAAGTTGTTGGTGACATGCGACCTTCCCTTAAAAATTGTGGAGGCCAAGGCGGTAAGAGTTTAATGATGTTTGTGGATGGTTTGTTGGGGTTGGTTCGGACAGAATGATTTGAATGGATTGTATGTTCCGGTTGTGAAGGATGGTGGGGGGTTGTTGGGTTGGGACTCGTTTGCCACTCCATTACATTCCACTTGAAACGTCTCGAAACCCAACTCGGCCTCTTTGTGTGACTTCCCCACCCCACCAGTTTTGCGAGCTCTTGATCATGTGCAACCACCAGTGCGGGCAGAAGAACTTCATACCCTCTCACTGGACGGTTGCACGCGACACGGTGGTCTTTGCTGCGGCCGCTCTACAGGCGGCCATTGCAGAGCTGCTGGCAAAGAAGGGGGAGTTGGGATGCAAGGTGTCATACACCATCGACATGTGGACTGCACCCAACGGCAAGGCTTGGCTGGTGGTGACAGGTCACTAGATAGACGAGTCATTTCAGCTTTGCACAGCAGTGCTAGAGTTTTGCGAGATGATGGGGCGTCATACAGGCAGGGCGATGGCGCAGGTGGTGGAGGAGACGGTAGTGTAGTGGGGGTTGCAGGGGCGTTGTCTAGGCCTCTCCTCTGCCAACGCCTCTTCCAACATTGCCGCCTTCAGGCAGTTGTCGGAGGAGGGTGGTGGAAAAGGTTTCTTCAAATCTCGCCTGCACTTTAGGTGAGCATGGGTGTGAGTGTATTTGATATCTGGGTGGGTTTGATGGGTTGGTGTTGCGGGTGCCTGTTGGTGGACAGGTGGGTGGCTGCATTTATGGCACTCCAGTGGTTGGCATTGACCATGTGTCACTACCTCCCTCCCCCCATGCCACTGCTACTATTTTCCGCAGGTGCTTGTTACATGTGATAAACCTTGCAGTGCAGGCGGCTTTGTCTGAGGATACCATCCGCGACCTGCTGAAGGTGCTCAGAGATATGGCATATTGGATTGGGTATTCTCCGCAGCGCTCTGCGGCGTTTCTGGGCATCCATAGGACTTAGAAATTACAGGCCCGCGTCAACAAACCGGCGTTGAAGCTGGTGCAGGACAGTCCAACCCGATGGGGGTCGACTCACGCAATGGCCGACCGCGTCCTTGTGCTACAGAACCCGATCACGGTGTTCTTTGCCTTGACCCAGGTATGGTGTGGAGGGTGGCATGGCATGGTGTGGCATGGAGTGGCATGGCGTGGCATGGAGTGGCATGTAGTGGCATGGCGTGGCATGGAGTGGCATGGATGTTACGTATATGTGATACCCGTAATGCACAATTTAGCCTCTAATTCAAACCCCTTCCCCCATGCCATACCACCCCCCACTGAACCCGGACAGGGCTTGTCGAAGGCGGACAAGAAGAAGGTGGAGAAGTTGCGCCTGCCAGATGAGCAGTGGGACTTGTTGAAGGACTTGAGGACATTTCTCAGCCCCTTCAACAATGTCTCCAAGGTAGCTGAGGGGACGGCGTACCTGACAGTGTCGATGGTGGTGCCGTATTACAACGGCCTCATCGACGCCATGGAGTCGCACCTGGCCAAGGGGCTATCGGCGACGCTGCGGCTGATGAACGAGAAGGCGCTTGCAACATTGAAGAAGTACGCCTACACCGACAGCAACGAACAACTGGATCGCCACCTTCCTGGACCCATCCATGAAGGCGGCGTGGTTCGACGACGAACACTGGGAGAAGCTGCATCCAGGGAAAGTGCGGAGCGAGAGGCCGCGATCAGCGTCCAGCGTTGTGATCGGGCTTGTGCGTAAGCGCGTGGCCGAGTACCAGGCGGCGGCTAGGGAGCTAGCTCCACCTCGGCCCACTACACTTGCCCCCGTGGTGGAGGAGCAGGAGGGAGAGGGTGGGGATGATGATGACGACCAGTATCTCCCTAGTCGCCGACGACTTGCGGCGCGTCAGCAGGTACTTGTCCGAGCGGGTGCGGTGCGACGTGTCAGCGCTAGAGTACTGGCGCACTGCTACCAACATGGAGACGCTGAAGCGGATGGCCAGGGATTATCTCGCCATCCCTACCACGTCTGTTGCGAGCGAGCGTGTGTTCTCGCTGGGCCGCAACCTCATCTCCTGGAAGCAGCACCGCCTGAACTCTGAGAGGTCGCGAGCCTGCATGATTCTTAGATCGTGGTATGGCTCGCACCCTGGCCAGAGGATCGGCGAGGGCCGCCGACCGAGAGGGGTCGCACCACTGGAGATCGCTATTGAGGGCGATGTGGCGGAGGAGGAGGAGGAGGAGGAGGAGGAGGAGGAGGAGGAGGAGGAGGAGGAGGAGGAGGAGGAGGAGGAGGAGGAGGAGGAGGAGGAGGAGGGGGGGGGGGGGGAGGCGGGCGCAGCTAAGAGTGAGGCTGGTGGTGTTGGTAGTGGGGAGGAAGACAGGGAGTAGATGTGGTTTTGGTGCTGTGCGTTCGTTGGGGCGCCTTTGTTGCCTTTGAATCTTTAGAGAGCACCGCCTGAACTCTGAGAGGTCGCGAGCCTGCCTGATTCTTAGATCGCGGTATTGCTCGCACCCTGGCCAGAGGATCGGCGAGGGCCGCCGACCGAGAGGGGTCGCACCACTGGAGATCGCTATTGAGGGCGATGTGGCGGAGGAGGAGGAGGAGGAGGAGGAGGAGGAGGAGGAGGAGGAGGAGGAGGAGGAGGAGGAGGAGGAGGAGGAGGAGGAGGAGGAGGAGGAGGGGGAGGCGGGCGCAGCTAAGAGTGAGGCTGGTGGTGTTGGTAGTGGGGAGGAAGACAGGGAGTAGATGTGGTTTTTGTGGTGTGCGTTCGTTGGGGCGCCTTAGTTGCCTTTGAATCTTTAGAGAGACCATAGAGATAGAAATTGTTGACATGCTATTATAACTCGTTGTAGTTAGTACAAACGCATAACACGTACAAAAAAACACTGCCAAACAATCTACCAATCTTTAGGGATGGTTCAGACCCTTTGTATCCATGTGTGACTATAATGAAATACTCCCCTGGGCGAACACGAACGTGTTCGCCTTAGTGTTCGAGATGTTCGCCCTCACAGCCGAATCTCGAACACCTTTTTTTTATGTTTGCCCTCACAGCCGAAAAACATGTTCGTGTTCGCCTCTTGCTCATCCCTGGAGGCCCAAGCGTGAATGCGGCAGGGGAGTTTCAACGGGAGTTGTGTGTTGGCCCCGTCCTTGCTTGGGCGGAGCCGACTTCGTTGTCTTTCGGGTGTGCGGGGAGCGCAGCTGACCTCCTGGGCGTCTTTACGGCGTCCTGGGCGCCGACCTGGGCGCCTGGAAGTCGACGAGGGCGGACGCCAACCTGGTGACGTCAACCTGGTTGGAGCACAAAACGAAGCACATTGCTCTTCGTTACTTTCTCGCACGGGAGCTACATCAGCGTGGTCAGCTTCGCCTTGCTTACGTGGCCTCAAAGGCCAACACTGCTTATATCTTTATTAAGGCCCTTAGGTATGGTGATCATTAGCGATTCTGCACTGCTCTTGGGTTTGTGCCCACCCTGCCTCACTTGCTTGTCTCCTGATCTCACCGTGCCCTTGTTGTACACTGTTATATATATTTATACCTCCATGTTCACACTTGTTAGGTTGTTCTCAATAGACTGCCTTTGCTGTTATAACTCTGCATGTGAATTTGCATTGTGGCCATTTACTTGTGCTCGAACAGTGTGGTGATCTTGAGATCCAGCCTAAGCTTTACTTGTTTCTTCTCTTCACTGGTCTTGTGACCGCTTGTTGTTCTTGTTGTTCCCCACTTCGCCTATGGGGGTGTGTCAAACTACATTTTGTGGTTATATAGGGCACAACCAAGTTAGGGTTAGGTACTTGTACAACATTCTCTTTCAGTTCAACCATTACGCTGCTTACAACTATGACAGCCTACTCGTTGGAGATGCCGCTAAAGCCTTATATGACTTTCGATGCGAGAAGAAGTCCTACGACGCCCCATCTACCAACTTCGAAGCCCTACGGCTTATCCTAGCTCAATTTTTCTTAACCCTCAAAACTTCCTCTATGCCGCTCCAAATGGAGACCCAAAAAATAACTCGGCTCTGCCTCGTGCATCTCATGCACAAAAAACCGTCGCTTCATCCTCTTCTCCCCCAGGAAGACTGCCACGATTCACATGGAATTCCTAGTCTCCGCGCTGCTTGATGACGCCTTCCGCCCCTGCTCAATGCACAGGCTAACACAACGCAAACCCCGGTTCCCTCTGGCGGCCGCGTTTGGCGAGGGTATAGTATTAGTGTACATGCACCTTTGTAGGTGTTGGTGAATCGTGATGAGTGTAAGGAATTGTAATTCCTTAGTGTGCTCGCACTTTAGCGAGTATAGCCCGAGGAGCACGCGTTAGTTCGGTTCGGCCTGATTCGTCGCCCCAAACCAGGGCCTAAGTTTGGTTTTTGGCTACTCACGATTAGCAGTGTAGCCTTTTTAAAACCCTTCTGAGCAGTGTGCCCTTTTTGGAAACACTGATGGATCAGTGTAACTTGAACTTTTGAAAACTTTACCCAGAGGCATCAGTGTAGGTATATTTTTTACCCTGATTGTAATGTAGGCAGCTCAGTATGTGCTGGCAACAACCAAGCTCGAGGCCCAAATTGGGCGCTGGTGGGTGGGGGTTGTGAACTCAAAAGTTGAGCGCAGTGGCTTGTCTGGTTTCGCTGCAACACTTGTTGTTTCGCCGAGTCAGCAAGCTTCCCGGGGGGAACGTGGGTTTGGGGACCTCGAGTCCCAAATTTCCGAGTCAAGAAAGTTAAAGTTTTTGCAGTGAGTGCAGATTTGACCAATCAGGTTGCATCGCCTCTACAATAGGTTGCAACCAGACATGGAGTGACGTGGTGTCGGTTGTCAGTACTCACGTGCTGGCGTCGTAATGCATCATTACGAAATTGAGTGTATCGTTACGAAATTTCTATGAAACTTCGTCTCGATAAGTAGAGTTTCGAGGGGAGGGTTCCCTGTACGCTCTTCAGGGTAATCTTCGCTAAGGGAAAATTTACCCCAGAGCATCAGTGTGGCCTAAATCATTTCACTGTCAAATCAGTGTAACACTAATCCCCAAGACAAATATCCAAACACATCAGTGCAGGCCCTAAATTTCACCCTTCTCATCAGTATAGCAGTCTGATTTACACTGATAAAATAGGCCCTGCCCCAAACCACTCTTCAGTCGCCCCCGCTCCAATCGTAACACGTTATGATCCTCGCCTGACCTCTTCGCCTAGCTAAGATTCTCCATACAAATTCCTGCACTTTCTTTGTATCGTCATTCCGTATTCCACATTCTCGTTATTCTGCACACTATGCAAGCTCATTCATAACATTGAGTTTCTTACCATAGGTCTTTCGCATTGTAATGATTTGTACATGGTTCCGACCTAAATAATGTCGGATCGGGGCTGACGGGCCAGAAATGCTGCTGAGGCTGGCTACATGTAAAATCTCGAGACGAGAGGGCCGTTATATTCATATCTAGGTTTCGGAAGCCCGCAGACTACTGCGGTTATCAATACTCAACGAGCCTGAAGCGAGCGTCGCCTTGCTGTGGTAATTGTTCTCGCTAGGGCCCAGTTCTGTTGCCCAGCGGCAAATGGAGGGTGGACAGCACAGCACAGCACCACTGGTGCGGCAGGGTGCTTCCTCGAAGCCTGGAAGCCCCTGGGTGGTGTGACACAGCTTCGTGCCACCCTCCGCGCAACTGGTGGGGCTTTGTAAAAGTTTTGCATTGCAGACAGTTAAAATGTTTTCCGCGACGATAATTCGTTGGCCTGGAGCAATACAGCCAACCAGTACCAAAAATAACTATCGTCACCAACCAGTAGTGCGGCAACAGAACTGGGCCCTGGTGTGGACCCCTCCGCACAGCACTAGATGATGCTTCGTGAGGGCCTCTACCGGTGATCCTCGAAGATTCCATTTCAAGGGCGCATTCCTTGAATCAGGCTCGGTACCTTGAACCCTCTCCCGAACCTGGCCAGTGCTGTGCTGTACTGTGCAGCCTACCTTGCGCAAAAGAACGCTGAACAATTAGTGCTGTGCTGTCCCCTCCTCCCAGGCAAACTGGGTGCGAGATTGGTGCGAGACTGGTTCCCGCTCGGATCGGGGACCTAGGGACAGCACAAGTAGTTCCGGGCAGGTACAAATGCCCCGAAAAAAACACGTTCCAGGAGAGGGGAGTGTCCCATTGGTGACGATAATTATTTTTGGTACTGGTTGGTTGTATTGCTCCAGGCCAACCAATAATCGTCGCGGAAAACATTTTAACGGTCTGCTAAGTTATCTTTTTTACGAACCCCCAGTAGTTGCGCGTAGGGTGGCAGGAAGCTGTATCGCACCACCGTGGGGGTTCCTGGCTTCGCGGAAGCACTCACCCGCACCAGTGGTGCTGTGTTGTGCTGTCCGCCCTCCATTGGTCGCTGGGCAACAGAACTGGGCCCAGTCGTGCGGCAACAGAACCGGGCCTAGGAAAACCGACCTTACTTTCTCGTGACGTGAAACACGCTCTCGTGCTTCTTTCCCCTCCAGGCTCGCCCACGAAATTCCTCCTTCCCTTCCCCCCGAATTCCTCGACATCCCCAGAAAGTTGGTGGTTCATACAGTTTTTACCGTGCGTTACCGTAACATAATTGATTCGAGCGTGAATGAATCCAATCGGACCGCATTGAACGTAAATGTATCCCATGTACATTTGCGGTATTTTCCCCTTCCCTACCTAATAGTCCCTCTTGGTCAATGGGACACACGCTCGTCATTCAAACCGTGGAAGTTGCTGCTTGTAAAGCCTTGCCAACTCGCGTCGCGACTCGCGAGTAAACTCCCTCAACAGACCGTCGTCCCCAGCCATCCAGCGAAACGACTGACCATGCTTCTATTTTTTTTGTAGTAAGATAGAGACAATGGTATAGAAATGTAGTTTGAGAATTAAGGCAGCTCCTTTGAGGTTCATGTCGATTTTCTAGCAGCGATGATGTCGCTTATTGGCGACGGACGACTCGCGTGAGACTGTCGAAGGACATCGTTTACGGACATGATCTCTTATCGTCAGCAAACTCGCGGAGTGAAGCAGCATTTGCTACCTACGGGGCAATCGTTGAGTGACGCAGCATTTCCTACTTCGGCTTGATCGTTATCTGGTCAGAATAGTTACCTATGGGCCTCAGCAACCTCTGCTCATCTTCCTCCCGCATTCCCCACCTTACTCTGCACCTGCTCTCCGTCTTCTCCGCCGCGTTTTCCACTAGATTGTCTGGAAATGCTCCCGCGAGAGCTCCTGCTCCGTCTCCCGGCGACGACATAGTTCCTGATTTTCCCGGTATAGACTACTCCGTTAATATCACGCTTCCGGTCGTCTCAGGCACGTCACGAGATCCTGTGGGGCATCCTGTTTGTTTCCGCCAAGGCCTGTCGCTGTTGAAGGTGGTTAGCTAACCATGACCTAGCACAACCTGGAGTGACCTACATCGACCTAAGAAAGACCTACCTTGACGAGATGAGACTAAGGGAAGGCGAGGACCTAAGAAGAAGATAAGCTACTTATGTTGGGGCGGTGGAAGAAGGAATACGGCAGCGGCGGAACCTATGGTGAGAAACGAAGTGAAGAAGAGGAAGCGTGCAGACGTGGAGAAGGACACGGCTGAAATGTCGAGATTTCAAGTGAAGTGAAGAGAAGTCACGCCGGGTCAAAGGCGCGTCCAAGGAAGTCTGAAATTCGAACTCGAGGCGCGTTCGGCGCATGGTTGGATTTGGAAATTGAGCCGAGAACAACTCAGCTCGAAATTAGGCGCGGCGCGAGGGCGAAATCAGAAATCCTTTTGCTTATAACTTGCTTTGTGTTTTCTGTTTTTGTATGTCTTCTTCAATGAAATCACGGGAACTTTTTGTCTTGATGTTTTTCAGCAAATTCCTTCACACAGTTGAGGCCAGAGCTTCCCATGCAAGCTACTAAGACTCTAATTAGTCTTCATAGTCTAGACTAGAGGCTGCGTACATACAAGAGTCGCCACACCCGGTTCCGATTCCTTGTGGCGAAAATCCTTCGCGAGTAGCCGCGTCGCAAGTGCCGTCGCACGTGTCGCTAACCCCGTCGCTCGCCAGCGTGCGACGAGTCGCACCCAGCACTAAGCTGAGTCTGCCTCTGGAGGATACTAACTCCATGCCCAACCTAACTCCCGCTTCTGAGCTCTTCGATATATGCACTGGACAAGGTACGGTAATAAAGGCTCTGCGCGGTACTGTGAATTTGAACCCGCGGCGGCGGACAAACTCGTACACATTCGTGCTTCGTGCCGCCGCCGCCGCCGTCGCCGCAGCACGAAGGACGCTCGTACACTGAGCGTCCCGTCCTTCGTGCTTTCCCCCTCCCTCCCCGCCCCACTCCCCCTCTCCCACCCACCTACTCCCCACCTTCCCCCAACTTTCCCCGTCCCCCACCTGTACTCCCCACCTACCCCAACTCCCCCCCACCCTCCCCTATTTCCGCATCTCTCGCCCTCCTCTCGGCGGCAGAACAACCAGAGAGAGTTTCCTATCCCCCTTGCTTCTCCCGCTTTCCCCTCCCCCTTGTTCCACACCCCCCCTTCCCCCGCTACCTCACTTACGTTCCACCTTTCCCCCACCCTTCCCCACCCTTCCCCACCCTTCCCCCCTTTCCCACAGCGTCCGCGGCAGTGTCGCGGAACTCCCGACAACGGAACAAGTAGACTGACTGCGCCGTCTCCCTTGCTCTTCCCCCTCAACCCCTTTTTTCCCCACCCCTTCCCCCATCCTCCTCCTCTCCCAGCCTCGGCGTCAGCGTGTCTGACTTGTCGACAGCGGAACAAGTAGACTGAGTGTTCTATGCCACTGCTGTTCCCCCCTCCGCCCCCGCTTCTACTCCCCCCTCCCCTCTCCAGCCTCCGTGTCAGTGACTCGTTGCTGTGGTGGAACAAGTAAAGCAATTTAGACCGAGTGTGCACCCCCGCCTGCGCTTCCCCCTCCCCCCGCACTTCCCCCAATCCCGCCTCCCCCACCCCCACCCTCCCCCCTCTCCAGCCACCATGTCTGTGACTCTGAAGTTGCGGTGGCGGAACAAGTAAATCAACTCTGTCCCATCCCTCCTCCTCCCTCCTCCCCCAACCCTCCCTCTTCTCCAGCATCTGTGCCAGTGACTTTGTAGTTGTTTTGGTGGAACAAGTAAATTAATTCAGTCCCGTCCCTCCTGCTCCCCCCCCCCCCTCCCCCACACCTCCCTCCTCCCCGCACCCTCCCCGCAAATTCCACCAGCCTCCGTGTCTGTGACTCTGAAGCCACGTAAGCAGGACACCTGGCGGGGATGGGGTACGTCCCTCTGTTGGTAAGCCGCGCCGCGCCTAGTTTTTACCACCCCCTCACTTCCCCCTACCCCCGCACTTCCCCCTACCCCCCACTTTCCCCACTTCCACAACCCCCCACTACCCCCGACCCTCAGCTTCCCCCAGCCCCGCACTTCCCCCTACCCCCACCCCCACTTTCCCCACTTCCCCAACCCCCCACTACCCCCAGCCCCGCACTTTTCCCAACCCCGCACTTCCCCCACCCGCTTTTTCCCCCCGCACTTTCCCCACCCCCCACTTCCACAACCCCCCACTTCCCCAGGCCCCCACTCCCCCCAACTTCCCCAGCCCCGCACTCCCCCCAACCCCCAACTTCCCCAGCCCCGCACTCCCCCCAACCCCCAACTTCCCCAGCCCCGCACTCCCCCCAACCCCCAACTTCCCCAGCCCCGCACTCCCCCCAACCCCCAACTTCCCCAGCCTCGCACTCCCCCCAACCCCCAACTTCCCCAGCCCCGCACTCCCCCCAACCCCCAACTTCCCCAGCCCCGCACTCCCCCCAACCCCCAACTTCCCCAGCCCCGCACTCCCCCCAACCCCCAACTTCCCCAGCCTCGCACTCCCCCCAACCCCCAACTTCCCCAGCCCCGCACTCCCCCCAACCCCCAACTTCCCTAGCCCCGCACTCCCCCCAACCCCCAACTTCCCCAGCCCCGCACTCCCCCCAACCCCCAACTTCCCCAGCCCCGCACTCCCCCCAACCCCCAACTTTCCCAGCCCCGCACTCCCCCCAACCCCCAACTTCCCCAGCCCCGCACTCCCCCCAACACCCCACTTTCCCCAACCAACAGCTGCATTAGACCGTCATCTCAACCTAACACCACTTCAAAACTGCCAATGCAATACCTAACATCAATAGAAGCTCCCTCAGTGTAGCACCATTACTCTCTTTTTTTAGTCGACTCAAATCTAAGCTCCCTCAATGTAGCACCATTACTCTCTTTTTTTAGTCGACTCAAAACTAAGCTCCCTCAGTGTAGAACCATCACTCTCTTTTTTTAGTCGACTCAAAACTAAGCTCCCTCAGTGTAGCACCATTACTCTCTTTTTTTAGTCGACTCAAAACTAAGCTCCCTCAGTGTAGCACCATTACTCTCCTTTTTTAGTCGACTTAAAACTAAGCTCCCTCAGCGTAGCACCATTACTCTCTTTTTTTAGTCGACTCAAAACTAAGCTCCCTCAGTGTAGCACCATTACTCTCTTTTTTTAGTCGACTCAAAACTAAGCTCCCTCAGTGTAGCACCATAACTCTCTTTTTCTAGTTGACTCAAAACTAGCAATACCTAACATCAATACAAGCTCCTTCAGTGTAGCACCATCACTCTCTTTTTTTAGTCGACTCAAAACTTAGATCCCTCAGTGTAGCACCATTACTCTCTTCGTTCACCATGTACCACCATTTCTGCCGCCCCTTTTCTGATGTAGGGTGTTTTTGAGAATTCTCAAAAATCTCCCTCAGCGTAGCACCATTACTCTCTTCGTTTGCTGAGAATTATGTCACAAGACCATTACTGCCGCCCCTTTTCTTCCGAGCACCTTCCCTCTGCCTATCTCCCTTCCTTCCTCCCTCCCAGGCTAGGAAACTTCGTGGGAGGCTTCCCAGACGAGCATTTTAACCCTCTCATGGACCTCCTATTCTCCCCCCCGGGTCTAAACCTCAACATAGTTCGCTACAACATAGGAGGCGGCTACAATGCTACTAATAGCCCTCGGTTCCTAACTGGGTATGTCAAATGGCGGGGCATGCCTGGATTTAAAGCCACAGAGGAAGCGGCTTATGATTGGTCAGCGGACGACAGGCAGCAGAGAGTTTTGTTTGCTGCCCGGGCGCGGGGGGCAGACAGGATCGATGCTTTTGCCAACAGCCCGCCGTGGTGGATGACAATCTCGGGGGATGTTGCGGGCGCGCCCACATACGGGCAGGGTAATTTGAAGGTGGAATATGAAACAGCTTTTGCAGAATATCTCACCGACGTGGTGCAGAAATTTGCAACGGATGAAACATGGGGCCATGGATTGGTGTTTGACACTTTGGAGCCGTTTAACGAGGCGTTGAAAGGGTGGTGGAAGCAGGGGGGAGGGCAGGAGGGGTGCAACATCAATATACAACAGATGAGACGCATTTTACCCAAGGTGCAGGCTGCACTTGAAAACAAGCAGCTTAAAACGAAGCTGGCTGGGGTCGATAGCTTCGTGCAAACCATTCCGAGACAAATTGGGAGCATTCTCAGCCCATTCCTGATTCGTTATAACGTGCATGGTTACATGAGTTTGGCAAAAAACGGGACGAATCCGGTCGAATACACGGCGCAGAATTTTCAGGTGATGAAGGATATCACGAAATCTCAGGCGAAGGGGGTGTTTGTTTCGGAATGGGGGCCAATGTCGCGGGGTGGGGAGGATACGGATGTTGCACTGTTCATGGCAAGATCAATCATTGCGTCGGTCAACATTTTGGAAGCTACTGGATGGGTGTATTGGCAGGCAATCGACCACGTCGCATCGTGGGCCTTGATCCACATTGACTGGTCTCAAGTACCAGATTCGTCTACAGTCTACACTCCGCCGCTGGTGTCTGAGAAGTTTTGGATTTTGAAGCATTTCACAAGCCTTGCTCTTCCAGGGAGCAAGAGGCTGCTCATTAACAAGCCGGAGTGCCACTTAGGGATTGCTGCATTCTACACCCCGACAAAGAGATTGATTAGCGTGTTTGTGGTGAATCAGAAGGGTGCAACGAGGAGAGTAAAGGTTCACATGCCTTGGTTTGGTGGTTTCGAAGGAATGCTGGCGGGAAAACACATGTTCGTTCGTGGCGGACTTCGTTCTCTGAGGACTTTGCAGAGATTCACTACAGTAGAGGAACCAAGCCTTTGTGGTTTTATATTCCTGGTCGGTCGTTTATGTCGTTTGCTATTACGCATGTCAGGTCCCTCCTTTAGAATGTCGTGGTGGTAGTGGGTTGCTGGCAGCATAAAATAGGAGTAGACACTTTAGAAGGAGTTAGTGTATCAACATGCTACGGGTAAGTCAATGTTGCATCTGTGTTGGCGCAGGCAATTAAGTAAATATAACTTTTCCATTTTGCTTTGAAGTAAAGGAGTAGTCACTTGCTTCGTGTAGAGAAGGACAATGTAGTCAATTATTATGGTAGTAATTTGCCTCGGCGCCACCTCGTTTTGGCTAGTTCAGCTCACACGTGTAAGTCATGGGCATCATTCAAGGGCGACTTCTTACCATTGCGTGCGAGAACCTTGGGCTTGTCGCCACGCGCCCCGACCTTGCAGCAGCGAGCATGGCTGACCGACCGTCAACCACTTGACGACGGCTTCGCCTCGTCGTGCAATGCGAACGCTTCCTGTTGTTCCCAATCGCCGAAAATCTGGACGGTCGTGAATCTTCGTCACTTCAGTCACCCAACTCGCAACCCGCATCTGTGTCGAGTCGCGACTGGGCTCGCGATCCGCCAGGTTCCTCCCCTCAATCTCGGCGCAATCGTCCACCTGCTGATACGGAATTGCATGGAGGTCGAGCGAGCTTATCTTCACGGAACTCAATTCTGACAGTAGGTTCGCTAGAACAGTATTTCCCCCCATCTTCGCATGCAAGCGAAATCGTCACCCATCAACGCTGACTTGGTAACTATGTCAGTTCTATGAGCTGCGAAGGAATCCTTGCCATCCTTCGCCTCCCTCTCGGCTGTTTGCATGTCATCAAGGGGAAAATTGACGCATCAATTCACCGTATTACGGTACAGGGAGGTGCGTTGCGTAAAGAGAACAATTCAGAAAGCATCTACAGCGGTAGAATCTGAGAGGGAAACCAACAATCTTAGTCCAAAGCCTGCCATTGCCGACTTTCCCGCCACATTCACGTTTCCTCCAACCGTTGTCAGTATTCTTCACTCCCTGTCGGCCACACACGCCCTTACGTCTCTGCTTGAAAGTGTCACTCGTGTGAAGGAGAACACTTGATAGCTCCACATCAGATTTAGAACTTATCCTCACTTTCATTCATTCCCCCACCCATCCTTCAACTGTCATCCGCTGTTCCACTGGAGCCCTTATCCTGAGCCTTACCTCGCGTTTAACAACTTTTAAGCTGTAATTGTTACTCTTGTATTATTGCCATCTGCCGTCGCAATAGCATGGCTTCTCTTTCGCTCTCCGCGAGCCCCGCTGTCGCGAGCCTCTCAGCGACGTCTGCGAATTCACTGGCGAATGCTAAGCGCCTCGCGATTTCCGCGAAACCCGTTTCGCTGATGTTGTCGCACGGCGTCGCTGCCGGAAGCGCGTCGCGATGGACGATGACTGCGACCATTCCTCCCAAGTAAGCCGCTCGTTATTCGCACTAAAGTCACCCTGAAATGTCCATCGAGACCGCTTATACCAAGTTTTTCACCGCTTGTGACGATTTCCACGGGTGGAAACTTTTCTGAGTCGATTCAATGTTCTTTTGAGTCGACTCAAAAAGCTTCTGACGATTTCCACGGGTAGAAATGATTTTCAACACTTCCTGCAAATGTCATCGTTGCATTGGTGCGCGAAAACTCAGTAACCCTTCGCCGAGGGGGTAACTCTGTATTCGCCTCGCACGGCGACGTCGTGCACCCCGCAGCCCCCCTCGGAGAGGATGGGAGGAGTGCTTGGGAGAGGAAAGGGGGAGGGAGCAATTTTTACGTCGCACGACACTAATTCGTGGCGCCACGGCGATTTAAGCTCTCCTACGCCGCTCCGAGCCGGAACGGCGGAGTCTGCTCCATTTTTCTAAAGAATTTGCACGCCTGAAATATCAGGTCTTATCAGATTTCTACAAGTCGGATTCACTTCTCTCGTCATCATAGAGTAGATTTGTGAGAATTCTAAATGGACGGAATCTCCTGCAACCTCAGGGAGTTCACTGTCCTCGGTTTGTTGCTGCGTCCAGTCAGGTTACTCCTCCCGCCTTCTTGATCTTCCTCCCGCCTCCTTGATCTTCCTCCCGCCTCCTCGATCTTCCTCCCGCCTACTTGATCTTCCTCCCGCCTACTTGATCTTCCTCCCGCCTCCTCCTTCCTCCCCCGTCTGCTCCTCCCCAGTGGCCTCCCGCGTGGTGCGTCGCAGAGCATGTGGCCACTACGCAGTAGCGCATGTGCCACGGCGGAGTAGATTTATGAGAATTCTAATGCAACCTCAGGGAGTTCACTATCCTCGGTTTGTTACGTGTTTGAAGAAGTGTTTTGAGACGTCTCAAAACACTTCTTCAAACAAATGGACGGAATCTCCTGCAACCTCAGGTAGTTCACTATCCTCGGTTTGTTGCTGCGTCAGAGAGCATGTGACCGCCACGCTGTAGCGCATGTGCCACGGGGCAGGAGATGATCGAGAGCTCTCAGAAATCTCCTGCAACCTCAGGGAGTTCACTGTCCTCGGTCTGTTGCTGCGTCACAGAGCATGTGGCCGTTGCGCTGTAGAAACGCATGTGCCTGCCACCGGGATGTAGCACGAAGCATCTGACTGACCCCCGGTGCTCCGTCGCTAAATTGGAGTCAGTTTTGAGAATTCTCAAAAGTGACTCCAACATTTCTGTCCGCCCACACTTCCCCCCCCCGCTTTCCTCTCCCTTCTCCCCCCCACCCCACCCCCCTCCCCTCGCCGTCGAAAGCAAACTTCCTGGCTGCCCCGCTGCAGCACATGCGTAGCATGAAGCATGTGGTGATGATCCATGGCCGGCTGGCGATGCCCCATGGGTGGCTGGTGATGACCCATGGCCGGCTGGCAATGATTGCTGGCCGGTTGCTTGAATGGCCCCTTCCCTCCTTCCACGTGTGTGCTTCCACCACAGGTGTCAGACTCTCCTGCAAGCGGCTCGGCGGCAAAGAAGGGTCCGACACTGGTGGTGTGACCTTGTGACATAATTCTCAGCGAGCATTATGTCACAAGACCAGCTTCCACCACAGGGTGTCACACTCTCCTGCGAGCGGCTCGGCAGCCAAGAAGGGTCCGACGCTGGTGGTGCCGCAGCAGCGTGCTCATACCATCGCACCCCCCTGCCTTCCATGTGTGTCGCTCTCCCCTTCCCCCCTCCAAACCCCAACCAGGGTGTCCGGCACTCCTGCAAGCGGCCCAACGCTGGTGGTGCCGGCTCAGCGTTGGGCCCTCCTGCAAGCGGCTCGGCAGCCAAGAAGGGCCCAACGCTGGTGGTGCCGCAGCAGCGTGCTCATACCATCACAACCCCCTGCCTTCCATGCCGCAGCGGTGCGCGCACACCATCACACAGTAGGGTTTGACTGGCAATCACAATCCCCTTGTCCCCTTCTCCTCCCTTCCCCCACTCCACAGGCTGTCAGGTTCTCCTGCGAACAGCTCGGCAGCCAAGAAAGCAGGCCCGACACTGGTGGTGCCGCAGCAGCGCGCACACACCATCACAAAGGAGCGACTGGCGATCGTGCAGTCCATGGATGGCTGGGCGGGGAGCACTCCATTATGGGGAGAGGCTGGCAATCGTGCAGTCACCCCATGGATGGCCCTCTCTCTCCCAACCCTCGTTTCCCCCTCCCTCCTTCCGCGTGTGTGTTTCCACCACACCACAGGGTGACTGATTCCCCTAGAAACGGTTCGGCAGCGACTAAGAAGGCTGGGCCAACAGTGGTGGTGCCACAGCAGCGTGCACACATACCATCACGAAGGAGCGACTGGCGGTCGTGCAATCCATAGATGGCTGGGCGGGGAGCACTCCATTATGAGGGAGAGGCTGGCAATCGTGCAGTCGCCCCATGGATGGCCCTCTCTCTCCCAACCCTCGCTTCCCCCTCCCTCCTTCTGCGTGTGTGTTTCCACCACAGGGTGAATGGCTCAGCCAGTAGTAAGAAGGCAGGGCCGACGGTGGTGGTGCCGCAGCAGCGCACACATACCATCACAAAGGAGCGCCTGGCGGTCGTGCAATCCATGGACGGCTGGGCGGAAAGCACGCTGCTGCCACTGCTCAAGCCTGTCGAGGCCAGCTGGCAGCCGCAGGTGGGGTGAGGTGAGGTGAAGTGCAGTGAGGTGCAGTGAGGTGCAGTGACATGCGGTGAGGAGCGGTGTGGTGCGGTGAGGTCCTCACATGTCATACCCCTCCCTTCCGCTCCCCACCCCACCCCCCCAAGGACTACCTTCCCCATCCCGAGCAAGACTCGTTTTTCAACGAACTAGCTGACCTGCAGGCCAGAGCAGCGACTCTCCCAGACGACCTGGCTGCTTTGTGCTTTCTCCTCTCATCCGCCTCCCCTCCCCTCCCCTCCCCTCCCTTTCGCTCCCCTCCCCACCTCCCCCAGGACTACCTGCCCTATCCCAAGCAGGAATATTTCTTGGACGAACTAGCTGACCTCCAAGCCAGGGCAGCGACTCTCCCAGACGACTACCCCGTGTGCCCCTGACCCACCTTTTCCCATCCCCTTACCCCCTCGCCCTTACACAGGACTACCTGCCCCATCCCGAGCAAGACTCTTTCTTGGACGAACTAGCTGACCTGCAAGCCAGAGCAGCAACGCTAAACCAGACAACCTGGTTGCTTTGTGCTTTCTCCTCTCATCCGCCTCCCCTCCCTTCCCCTCCCCTCCCCTCCCTTCCGCTCCTCCCCACCTCCCCCAGGACTACCTGCCCCACCCCGAGCAAGACTCTTTTCTCGACCAGCTTGCTGAAATCCAAGCCAGGGCAGCGACGCTCCCAGACGACTACCTGGTGTGCCTCGTGGGGGATATTATCACCTCAGAGGCCCTCCCCACCTACCATACCTTGCTCAGCTCAACACTCTCGACGGATCCAAGGACGAGACCAGCGCCAGCCCCAGCCCGAGCAAGACTCCTATCCCCCCCAACTTCCCTATCCCCTCCTCTCGTCCCCCGCCTCCCCCTTCCTCAGGACTACCTGCCTCATCCCGAGCAAGACTCCTTCATAGAAAAACTTGCTGACCTGCAAGCCAGAGCAGCAACTCTCCCAGACGACTACCTGGTGTATCCCTGACCCGCCTTTCCCCATCTCCTTACCCCCTCCCCCCACAGGACTACCTGCCCCATCCCGAGCAAGACTCTTTCATAGATGAGCTCTCCGACCTGCAAGTCAGGGCAGCAAACTCTCCCAGACGACTACCTGGTGTGCCTCGTTGGCGATATGATCACAGAAGAGGCCCTCCCCACCTACCAAACCATGCTCAACACCTACCAAACCATGCTCAACACCTACCAAACCATGCTCAACACCTACCAAACCATGCTCAACACGTGCTCTCTCTTCTGCCCCACATGCTCACTTCCCCCCTATTTCAGGACTATCTCCCTCACCCCGAGCAAGACTCTTTTTTGGACGAATTGGCTGACCTGCAGGCCAGGGAAGCAGGTCTCCCAGACGACTACCTCGCGTGCCTCGTGGGAGACATGATCACCGAGGAGGCCCTCCTCACCTACCAAACCATGCTCAACACTCTCGACGGGACTAAGGACGAGACCGGAGCCAGCCCCAGCCCGTGGGCAGTGTGGACGCGGAAACTGCGACTCATTTCCCCCTCCCCTCCTCTCCTCTTACCCTCCCCTTCCCCCCTCCCGCCCCACCACGCCTCCTGCAGGATTACCTCCCCCAACCCGAAAAGGAATCTTTTTTGGACGAATTGGCTGACCTGCAGGCCAGGGCAGCGACGCTCCCAGACGACTACCTGGTGTGCCTCGTGGGGGATATGATCACAGAAGAGGCCCTCCCCACCTACCAAACCATGCTCAACACTCTCGACGGGACCAAGGACGAGACTGGCGCCAGCCCCAGCCCATGGGCGGTGTGGACGAGGAAGTGGACGGCGGAGGAGAATCGGCACGGAGATCTGCTGAATCGGTATCTGTATCTCACCGGGCGGGTGGATATGCGAGCTGTTGAGAAGACCATCAACTACCTGATCGGATCGGGGATGGTGAGTTACGAGTGAGGGCGAGGAAATGGGGTGGTGAGTGTTGATATGCAGAAGAGCAGCAAATCCAAAGGTTAGAAAACTCTTAAAACAACTATAGGACCGAAACTGAAAAAAAACAAAATGATTAGTAAAACTCGATAGAAAAACCCTTCATGTAAAGCAGAACCTTACAAGCATATTTCGAAGTTTTGCTTTGACTGATAAGTATTTCGAGTTTTACTGGTCTTTTCCAGGAAGAAAAGTCCAGTTCCGTTCTTCCAGTTGCTCTAAGTGTTTTCCAAACATCGGATTTGCTGCTCTTCCGCTATGAGAGAAGCTTCCTATACACGTCCTTCCAGGAGCGAGCAACCTTCAACTCCTATCTCCCATTTCCCACCGCCTTGTGAATCACTTTTGAGAATTCTCAAAAGAGAATTCTCAAAAGCGAGCAACCTTCAACTCCTATCTCCCATCTCCTACCACCTTGTGTGTTCACTCCCGCAACAGGACCCCAAGGCTGAAAACAACCCCTATCTGGGGTTCGTCTATACATCCTTCCAAGTTGACTTTTGAGTCGACTCAAAAGTCAGCTGAAAATAACCCCTATCTGGGGTTCGTCTATACATCCTTCCAGGAGCGGGCGACCTTCATTTCCCACGGGAACACGGCGCGCCACGCCAAGGAGTTTGGCGACGACCGGCTGGAGGTGATTTGCGGGATGATAGCTGCCGATGAGAAGAGGCATGAGAAGCAGTTGCGCTGCGCACACTCACTCCCTCCTTCCTTCACTCTCTCCCTCACTCCCTCCCTGCTACCAGGACCCCAAAACCGAGAACAACCCGTATTTAGGGTTTGTCTACAGGTCCTTCCAGGAGCGGGCGACCTTCATTTCCCACGGCAACACGGCGCGCCACGCCAAGGAGTTTGGCGACGACCGGCTGGCGGTGATCTGCGGGATGATAGTTGCTGATGAGAAGAGGCATGAGAAGCAGTTGCGCTGCGCACACTCACTCCCTCCTTCCTTCACTCTCTCCCTCCCTCCCTTGCTCTCTCTCTCCCTCACTCCCTCCCTGCTACCAGGATCCTAAGACAGAAAACAATCCCTACCTGGGGTTCGTCTATACATCCTTCCAAGAGCGGGCGACCTTCATCTCCCACGGCAACACGGCGCGCCACGCCAAGGAGTTTGGAGATGACGGGCTGGACGTGACTTTTGAGTCGACTCAAAAGTGATCTGCGGGATGATAGCGGCCGATGAGAAGAGGCATTAGAACCAGTTGCGCTGCGCACACTCACTCCCTTCCTCCCTCACTTGCTCCCTCACTCCCTCCCTGCTACCAGGACCCCAAGACTGAGAACAACCCTTACCTTGGCTTTGTCTACACGTCCTTCCAGGAGCGGGCGACCTTCATTTCCCACGGCAACACGGCGCGCCACGCCAAGGAGTTCGGCGACGACCGACTGGCGGTGATCTGCGGGATGATAGCCGCTGATGAGAAGAGGCATGAGAAGGCGTACTGTGCGATCGTGTCACGGCTGTATGAGCTGGACCCGAGTGGGGCGATGCTGGCATTCGAAGATATGATGAGGAAACAGGTGTGTGTGCTGAGTGGTGAAGTAGGGATAAGTGCGGTACATTTGTAACTTTGAGGCGCCTCAAAATACGGATAAGTTCGGTACATTTGTAACTTTGAGGCGCCTCAAAATACGGATAAGTTCGGTACATTTGTAACTTTGAGGCGCCTCAAAATACGGATAAGTTCGGTACATTTGTTGAGGCACGAGAAGGCGTACTGTGCGATCGTGTCGCGGCTGTATGAGCTGGATCCGAGTGGGGCGATGCTGGCATTCGAAGACATGATGAGGAAGCAGGTGCGTTCTTTCAGTCATGTTCAGGTAAAGTAAAATTCAACCACTAGTTGAGCTGCGGCTGTATGAGCGGGATCAAGTAGAGCCATGCTGGCATTCGAAGACATGATGAAGAAGCAGGTGCACAGTGGACTTTCAAGCCTAGGTAATACCATGTGAAACAAATGTCAACAACTGATGCGCCTGAGAGGCCATGATGCCATTTCTTCTTCTCTCTGCTGCAGTTTCCCCTTGTCTTCTCTCTGCTGCAGTTTCCCCTTGTCTTCTCTCTGCTGCAGTTTCCCCTTGTCTTCTCTCTGCTGCAGTTTCCCCTTGTCTTCTCCCTGCTGCCATTCCCCTTGTCTTCTCTCTGCTGCCATTCCCCTTGTCTCCTCTCTGCTGCCGTTTCCCTTCTCTTCCCTCTGCTGCCATCCCCCTTCTCTTCTCTCCTGCTGCCATTCCCCTTGTCTTCTCTCTGCTGCCATTCCCCTTGTCTTCTCTCTGCTGCCATTCCCCTTGTCTTCTCTCTGCTGCCATTCCCCTTGTCTTCTCTCTGCTGCCATTCCCCTTGTCTTCTCTCTGCTGCCATTCCCCTTGTCTTCTCTCTGCTGCCATTCCCCTTGTCTCCTCTCTGCTGCCGTTTCCCTTCTCTTCCCTCTGCTGCCATCCCCCTTCTCTTCTCTCCTGCTGCCATTCCCCTTCTCACCTGTCCACAATCATTTCCCTTTTCTCCCAGCCGCGACTGCACTCCTTCCTTCTCACATATGCTCCCACTTTCCTTCTCTCCCATCTGCAAGCTCCCTTGTGTGCGAGTGGATTGCCTTCCACTTCGAAGTGGAAGACATAACTCCTGTTGTTGCACCCTTTTCGTCGTGACTGTATCCCCCGTTCGCCCTGCATCAACCCTTTTTTCAGATTGTCATGCCAGCCCACCTCATGTACGACGGGGAGAACCCCAAACTCTTCGACGATTTCTCCGCTGTAGCGCAGCGCACTGGGGTGTACACTGCCGGAGACTACGCCGATATAATGGAGCACCTTATAGCGGTTTGGGATGTCGAGAAGATGGAGGGGCTTTCCCCAGAGGCGGCACGCGCGCAGGAGTTTGTCTGCAAGCTGCGGCCCAGGATCAGGAGGTTGGCAGAGCGGGCGGCAGATAAGGTGAAGAAGGGCGGGCCCCAGACCGGAAAGTTCAGTTGGGTTTTCAACAGGGAGGTGAAGCTTGTGTAACGAATGTCAATGGATATTCGACTTTATGTACAGATTACTTAGTGTCTGTAGATTTACTTCCCAAACCAAGAAGTCGTTATGGATTCTAGGTACGTGTTCTCAATCTGTGAAAGTTAATGAAGGATGTGAGAATTTGTTTTTTCATCAGTACTACTCACTGATTAACATTTATCGGAACTCGTCAACAATGTGTACGGATTAAAACCCGCGTCTCATATTTCTTGTTTCCAACCAAAGGTAATACGCTTGAAACCGGGTAACCAAACAATCACTCGCAAAACACTCGCGTTTGGTTTGGCGCAGGTGTGATTGGCTGCAAACCAAACAGTTTGGTAGAGGCAGGTGCCTGACTACCAAGCCGGGTTTGCGAGAAACAGGCAACTGCATGTGCGACGGACTGAGAATGGGACGCACAGCCCACAACCGAGCGTATTACAGAGCTGGAAAAATATGAGACTGCAAACCCAGACAGGTTGTAGGTGGAGAAACATACTCGCACCGATTTCTCTAGCGACTAAGTCTCATTTCAGCATCTTATTTTCCCTAGGTTTATTCCAGCGTCAAACGTGACAATACCTTGTACCTCTCGTTGTCGTTGTTTATTTTTATCTTTGGTCACTCCGCGCCTGCATTTGCTTTTACGCACGTATAGTCCGTCCATCGCCAGAGCTGGTCCTCATTATTGCAATAAGATGCACCACTCTATTTGGACCAAGGTGTATTGCAGTAACGCTCCCCCCTGTCGAATTTGGACGGAAGGGACACGACGGAAAGGCAGCAGTTAGGACGAGATAGGAAGCGACGCGACGGAAAGGCAGCAGTTAGGACGAGATTGGAAGCGACGCGACGGAAAGGCAGCAGTTAGGACGAGTTAGGAAGCGACGCGACGGAAAGGCGAGGGTTAGGACGAGATAGGAAGCGACGCGACGGAAAGGCGAGGGTTAGGACTGGATAAGCAGCGACGCGGCTGAAAGGCGAGGGTTAGGACTCGATAAGCAGCGACGCGACATTACAGGAAGCGACGCGACATGGCTGGAAGCGAGGAGAAAGGGATGGGCGTGATGCGAGGGTAAGGGGAGAGTCGCGAAGGGGTGTGGCGGGACGGTTGGGAGGGAAGGGACTGGAAGGGAGGTAAGGGGTGAGAAGGACCTCCGGGATGCGACGAGAAGGGGAGGGGTGGGACGGTGCGTGAAGGGGAGCCGGAAAGGGTAGGAAGGGATACTGTGGGATGCAACGAGGAGTGGAGAGGAGAGAAGTGGAGAGGAGAGGAGAGGACAGGAGGGGACGCTACTGGACACGACGGGACGGGACGGGAACGGGGGGGACCTGATGGGACGTGAGGGGACGCGACGGGAAAGGACGGGACGGGACGGGACGGGACGGGACGGGAAGGAAACGAGACGAGAGGGGACGGGACGGGACGGGACGGGACATGACGGAACGGGATGGGACGGGATGGGACGGGATGTATGACGGGACGGAGCGGGAGGGAACGCGACGGAGCGGGACGGGACTGGCGGGAGGAAACGTAGGAGACGCGCCGATCCCCATACCCCTTTCCCTTCCCACATCCCCTTTCCCTAACCCCATCCGCCTTCCCCTCCCCCATCCCCCTTCTCTTTCCCCATCCCCCTTCTCTTTCCCCATCCCCCTTCTCTTTCCCCATCCCCCTTCTCTTTCCCCATCCCCCTTCTCTTTCCCCATCCCCCTTCTCTTTCCCCATCCCCCTTCCCTTCCCGCATCCCCTTTCCCTTTCCCCATCCGCCTACCCTTTCCCCATCCCCTTCTCTTTCCCTATCCCCCTTCCCTTCCCCCATCCCCCTTCCCTTCCCCCATCCCCCTTCTCTTACCACATCCCCTTTCCCTTCCCCACACCCTCCTTTCCCTTCCCCCATCCCCCATTCCCTTTACCCATCCCCCATCCCTTCCCTGCATCCTCCTTTCCCTTCCCCCATCCCCCTTCCCTTCCCCCATCCCCCTTCCCTTCCCTCATCCCCCTTTCCCTCCCCCTCTGCTATCACCTTCTTTTCTCTTTCTGCTACCACCTCCCTTCCCCCTCTGCTGTCACCTCTCATCCCGTGATACCACCTCCCTTCCCCCTCTGCTGTCACCTCTCATCCCGTGCTACCACCTCCCTTCCCCCTCTGCTGTCACCTCTCATCCCGTGCTACCACCTCCCTTCCCCCTCTGCTGTCACCTCTCATCCCGTGCTACCACCTCCCTTCCCCCTCTGCTGTCACCTCTCATCCCGTGATACCACCTCCCTTCCCCCTCTGCTGTCACCTCTCATCCCGTGCTACCACCTCCCTTCCCCCTCTGCTGTCACCTCTCATCCCGTGATACCACCTCCCTTCCCCCTCTGCTGTCACCTCTCATCCCGTGCTACCACCTCCCTTCCCCCTCTGCTGTCACCTCTCATCCCGTGCTACCACCTCCCTTCCCCCTCTGCTGTCACCTCTCATCCCGTGCTACCACCTCCCTTCCCCCTCTGCTGTCACCTCTCATCCCGTGCTACCAGCTCCTCCCATGAAGCCAACACTTCGCCAACCCTTTCACCTTTTTCCCCTGCTTTCACACACTATTCCGCCAAGCAATCACTTCCCCAATTCCTCCCTGCCTCCTTTCTTTCCCCATGCCATGCCTCCCCTCGCTTTCCTCCCATGCCTCAGCTCTGTTTTCCCACTTGTCTCCCCTCTGCTTCCCCCCTTTCTCCCCCCTGTTGATGTGCTTGTTCCAGCATGGCACCACAAAGAACCAGTTCATCCTTAGTTTTGTGACTAGTGCGTAGATTCAAAACTCAGTTGTTGGCAAAGTAGGCTTGCCAAACCCGCCTAGTCTCTTGTCTTTCATAGCATATTACACTTGATGCTCAGATGGTTTCAATGCATCCATTTAGTTTGTAGCAATTGAGCACAGCACTGACCTAAAGAACTTATTGAATGTATACACTTGTGCAATATCTTGAAGATACGGGGTACATCTCTCCTCTAGCGCCAATCTCGCCTTCGTGCATCTGGCCGTGCATCTGCTGCTTGCCTGTCCCTTCCGTTCCGCCAGGCTCGCCTGGGACTAGCTTAGTCCTGCTTGTAACTGGAACAAAGGGAGAGGTGACGGGAGGAAGGAAGGCTCCAGGGATGAGAAAAAGGGCAGTTGAGATGTGAAGGAAGAGAAAGGTGGTAAAAAGGGGGAACGGGGAGAGCAAAAGAGGGTAGGGGTGATGCAAGGAAGGGAGGCTGGCACGCAAGATGGGAAGGAAGGGAGGGCAAATGAGAAGAATGGGAGGGGATGAGAAGGGAAGGGACAGGAGATGGGAAGGCATAGTAGGGGAAATGAAAAAAAAGGAGGGCAGATGGAGAAGGAAAGGGCTCTACACACTCATGGCCCTAAACACAGCACTCAACCTCCCCACCTCCTACTCCCACTCCCCCTCCCCTCTCTCACCATCGCCCACACCCACACCCTCCTCACCTTCCCCTGCTTACATACACCTCAGTTCGGGCAGAAAAGCTAGCAGGGTGAGCGCGTGGCGAGGGCTGGCTGGCAAGCAAGCCTTGCTGCAGACATTAGGAAAGTTGGTAGGGGAGGGGGTGAGGGTGAGTTAACAGGGAGAGGAAGGGGAGAGAGGGAAAGGGAGAGGGTGAAGGGGAGAGAGGAAAGGGAGAGAGGGAAGGGGAGAGAGGGAAGGGGAGAGGGTGAAGGGGAGAGAGGAAGGGGAGAGAGGGAAGGGGAGAGAGGGAAGGGGAGAGGGTGAATGGGAGAGAGGAAAGGGAGAGAGGGAAGGGAGAGAGGGAAGGATGTGTGTTGTGTCTCGAGGCGCAGATGGCAGTTGGGGGAAAGGGAGGTGTGAGCACCGGGATGTGAAGGCTGAGGGACGTGTGGCAAAATGACTTGTGCATTTTTATGCACATGCACTGAATGATAAGAATACAAACAGGTGCACACCCGCACGCACGCACGCACGCGCACGCACGCACGCATGCACGCTTGCTCTCACGCACGTGCACGCAAGCACGCACGCACGCACGCACGCGCGCGCACGCACGCATGCACGCACGCACGCGTACGCGCACGCAAACGTGCACGCACACGCGTAAGAACGCATTTCGGAATGTTACGGACTGGCTACCTCGTAACAAGCGATGGCGTTGCGACCGTTCCCGACATTGGACGATTCCTTAGTCGCCAATTAGTGCGTTATCCGCAACCAGAATTTGTTCGCAAGTCCCCTGTTATCTGGTCCGAAATGGTCTCTAATATCACTGTTTTAGCGACTAAGGCCAGCATCTTGATGTGGAGGTACATACGTAGGAACCATCCTAAGCGGAGGTTGTAAGACTGACAGGTGAGAGTTTTGCTCTGCTTTTCCTGGTGAACGTGGGCGAATTGCGTCTTGTCGTTTCAGTTGGTCGCAGGGAACTGCCGGATCTGTTTTTTAGGTGTGGGAGCTTTCCATGCCTGAGGGGCTCGTTTGGTTTTTGCGTAGACGAACTGAGGTGTCGTCTGTGTTTTCCAAACTGCTCGTCACAAATCTCGCCTATCGTTACCCAATCACAGGCGCTTTAGCCCAACCAAGTGTAATACACTAGGAAATATGAGACCCGGGTTTTAAGTGAACCAGCTGTATCTAGTTGTCACGTATCAGGGTCCGAGAAGTGAGGTTTTCACCGACAAATGTCATGTCGGTTCCCCCGTTCCACAACAAAAGCAGAGAGTTTCTAGCAGCCCAAAAAACTTGATTCAAACGTTCGATTTGTGATGAGATGGACAATCGACGGCTTTGTCGTTTTTATGAGATGGCATGTCTGCCCGATGGCCTAAACGTTGGAAACTAGCCGTTCCGAACCATGCCTGCTTGTCACACTACCTCTGGGTCGCATTCCAGACATGCAAGACATTTCATATCCCATCCAGCACAGTGCAATTATTAGTTTTAAAACTTGTGCTGAATTTTGGAGGCGAACAGAGGTCCTTCACCGTCAACTTCTCGAAACTCGTGGCACAAAGCATGTAATTCAGGGTGCGGCATCACCGAGGTTTCCGCTCACATGCAAGTGTGATCAAGCAGTCCATTCTCCCTTTTGGCGGTTCGCCATGTCAAGTACTGTTAACTCCACTAAGCGTACTCCACGGATTCATGGCTGCCGTGCCGAAACGGCCCCCTCTCCGCTCCGTACCAATTCGGCTTCCCACATTTCTTGTACACCCCCAGACCCGGACACACGCCTTGATCCAGTGTTAGCGCCTCGCCGTCATTTCGACTCGATGGAACCTTCCAACCTTTCCAATATGTGCTGCAGTTATGGCCACCCACTTTTTTGGTCCCATTTCATCTTCGATGGATTATAGATTGATCGGAATAGTTACTGCCCCACCGTGCTTCATTGAAACTGTCGCTAGTGAGCACAGAGGCGATTATTCTCTTCGACGTCGTTGCTTACGAAGCATTCATAGTCAGACAAGATAGTAGATATATTTCACGTCGTCGATTATAAGTTCATAGACTCACGTCGTCGATTATTTTCAAAACACTCGCCAGCTTCACGCCGGTGACGGACAAATTGGATGACGGACGGATCAGGCGACTGATGGTGGCCATGACTGACGGACTCCGTCAGTGACAGAATTCGTCATTGATCGTGGGAGCAAGCAGCGTTTGTCACTGAAACTGGACGGTCTAACAGCGTTGCGCCATATGAGTTATTCAAATAAAAGTCAAAGTTCTTCAGACATATTTTACTAGGCGTTTATAGATTAAACTGTCTGTTAGTAGCAGCGTTGCGCCAAGATGGCTCCCCGGCACCTCCGCTCACTCTCTCGCAGACTCTATCTTATTTTTCTCCTGCTCTCCGTCTTCTCCGCCGCGTCTTCCGCTGTGGAAGTCTCCGGAGAACCTCCCGCGAACGCCCCCGCGCCGTCTCCCGACGACGAAATAATTCCAGATATTCCCGGTATAGACTACTCCGTTAATATCTCGCTTCCGGTCGTTTCAGGCACATCAGGAGATCCCGTTGGACCCCCCATCTGTTTTCGCCAAGAGCTGTCGCCGCACCCCGTGCCGATCCCTTGTAGCGAAAAGCCTTCGCGAACGGCCACGTCGCAAGCTACGCCGCTCTCCAGCGTTCGAGTCGCATCGAGCGGCGGTAACTCGAGTCGGCCTCTAGCGGGCTCCACACCGAACCTGACTCCCGCTACTGAGCTTTTCGATATATGCACTGGACAAGGTACAGCGCTACACTTTTTTTATCCCATATAATCTCGTCCTCTGCATTGCCCGCCTCGCCTGTGCCTCTGGCCCTGAACCGAAGGTGGCGGAACAATCAGACAGTGCCCCGTGCCCCTTCTCTTCCCCCCACCCTCCGCTCGGTCGTACCCCCCCCTCCCCCCTCTCCCAGGCCTCGGGTCCGTGACTCTGAACCCGCGGTGGCGGAACAAGTAGACTGGTTAGTCCCGTCCCCCCTAATGTCCCGCCACTCCCCCCCCTTCCCCCTCTCCCCAGGCCCCGCGTCAGTGACTCTGAACCCGCGGTGGCGGAACAAGTGGCAGGGCTGGGGCACCTCCCTCTGCTGGTAAGCCGCTCCCCACTTCCGGCACCCGCCCACTCCCATCACTCCCCCCAATCCCCTGGGACCTCCACCCCCACCCCTCTCCGGCCCCACCACGGCGGAACAAGTGGCAAGGATGGGGCACCTCCCCCTGTTGCTGAGCCTGCCGCTTCTCTCCTTTCTCCCTTCCTCCAACTGCCCTTCTTTTTGGATAAATCAACGATGCTCTCCATTCTGGCTTCCCAGTCCCTGTCAAACCATTAGTTTTACTTCTATATAACCGTATAGCACTCACCTCAGTTCGGATAGATCTTATCACCACTCTCACTTCACAATAGCTGCAGCATCAATCTGACTTGTCAATAGCACTGATTTCTCCTCTTTTTTCTCCGCCCCGTCCCACTTTCTCTCCCTCCCAGGCTAGGAAACTTCATCGGCGGCTTCCCAGACAACCACTTCAACCCTCTCATGGACCTCCTATTCTCCCCCTCGGGTCTAAACCTCAACATAGTTCGCTACAACATAGGAGGCGGCCATAGTGCTACCAACAGCCCGCAGTTTCAGTCCGATAGTCTCAAATGGCGAGGAATGCCGGGCTTTAAGGCAAACGGAGAATTCGGGCTATAACTGGGCAGCGGATGACAGGCAGCGGAAAGTTTTGTTTGCTGCCCGGGCACGGGGGGCGGACACGTTTGAAGCTTTTTCCAACAGCCCGCCTTGGTGGATGACTGTGTCTGGGGATGTTTCAGGCGCAGCCACATACGGGCAGGGTAACCTGAAGGTGGAATATGAAACAGCTTTCGCCGAATTTCTCACTGACGTGGTGCAGAAGTTTGCAAATGATAGAAGCTGGGGCAAGGGGTTGGTTTTTGATACTCTGGAGCCATTTAACGAGCCGCTGGAGGGGTGGTGGAAGAAGGGGGGAGGGCAGGAGGGGTGCAACATTGGTGTAGCGCAGATGAAGCGGGTCCTACAGAAGACTCAGGCTGCTCTTCAAAGGAAGAAGCTTAAAACGAAGCTTGCTTCTGTGGATAGCTTTGTCGAGCGGACTCCGGAAAACGTCGCGAGTTTGAACGGGTTCATCTACCGTTACAACGTGCACGGTTACATGAACCTGGCGAAAAACGGGGCGGATCCGGTTGAGTGGACGAGGCAAAACTTTCGTGACATGAAATTGATGGCGAAGTCTGCGACAAACCCGGTTTGGATTTCGGAATGGGGGCCTTTGGATCGGGATGGGGATGACATGGGTGTAGCACTGTACATGGCGAGATCTATTATTGCTTCCATAAACATTCTGGAAGCTTCTGGGTGGGTGTATTGGCAAGCGATGGACCCATCTTCGACTTGGGGGATGATTAATATCGATTGGTCGAAGACTCCGGACGCGTCTACAGTGTACACTCCACCGACGGTATCCAAAAAGTTTTGGATATTGAAGCATTTTACGAGCCTTGCTCCCAGAGGTAGCCGGAAGCTGGTCCTAAGCAAGGGGAGATGTAATTTTGGGATTGCAGCTTTCTACACCCCGAAGAAGAGGATGATAAGCGTATTTGTTGTGAACCAAAAGGCAATACCAAGGAAGGTAAGTGTTGCGATTAGTTGGTGGTTTCAGAAGAATGTTGGTGGCAAGTCGGAGGTGCTTTCGTGGAGAACATCGTATTCTGAGGACTTTGCGCAAGTTGACTATGGAGGATTGCCTATACGCTTTGAGATGCCGGGCAGGTCCTTCGTTTCACTTGCAGTTACGCATGTCAGGCCTTTCTTGAAGATCGATACACCGTGGTAGATATCATATTATTATATTCTATAGTATTTGTATGATATGGTGGTTATTTATCTCTATGTAGACCCCAAGGCATGTCCCTTGGAGGTCATTTTCTAGTTCGCTCATTCTGTTGGTTGATCACTTTCTTCATTGAGCCGTATTTAGGCAAATGTTTCGACTCTGCTGCATATTGAAGGCATTGATTGAGAACACCAATGTTGAGGTGAACATGAAGTGAAGATAGAAATGAAGGGAAGATTTATATGTATGAAACTGGCACTACCAAGAAAGCTTGAGAGATGCTCTGGATTGTGCTTGAGAATGGTAGCGAAGCATGTAATGGGAGATTCTCTTGATGCCTCAGTTGTGTGTGCTCTAAACGAAAGCTTCAAGTTGTGTCACAGCGCTTACGAAACTCCAACCTGGTCATAGGCGGGGCACGACACGTCAGCCATCACTGTACGAGCGTCAGCATCTCCCCCACACTGCGATGGCTTATGTACAGTACACAGTGTGTGGATGAGTTTTCACCCTTCACTAGGTTTTGCCTGGTCCCTGTCACCAATAGCGTTCTCTAGTTCCGTCCGGGCATACGAAATTCAAAATTCGTGTTTCAGAGGGTTGCCTGTACTTGTATATTGCTTTGTACATTTGTGAAAACCTTTAAAAACCTTCACACACCCGCACATACCATATGGATGACACACAGAGTCTTCGCCTGTGCACGCTAGAACTCTGATGGAAGTCTTTCACCCATAACACGTGTTGCTTATGCTTTATAGGTGGCTGCGATGCCGCTTCACACCTTAGCGCGTCACTCTTGCGCTTCGTGTGACTGTCAGGCGAGTGTGTGAGGCCAGGAATCTCTTGCTTTTATTTCTCGTTCTGCCAGATCAACGTCCCGCACGTTGCCAGACTGTTTCCTGCTCGGTTTCCTTTTCCGGTAGCCATGGTTGCTGCTTGCTCGCTGTAGCTTCCATTCGCTGCTGCCTCAGCTCCTAACACAAGTGTTCTTCCCTTAGTTCCGCCTCCTTTGCCTGCACAAGTATTCGTGGTGGGTCAACCCTCGCAGTGACACGTTCGGCAGTGTCACGTTCGGAAGTCACGCTCGGCAGTGTCACGTTCGGAAGTCACGCTTGGCAGTGTCACGTTCGGAAGTCACGCCCGGCAGTGTCACGTTCGGCAGCGGCGGTGTCACGTTCATCAGTGTCACTTTCGTCAGTGTAACGTAATCTAGCGGCCACATCACGTTCGACAGCATCACGCTCGACAATATCAAACTGGAATAAGAACACTGCAGCACGACTGCCTGGAGTAGAGTAGGCTGGTAGCTCAAAGGACTTAGCTTTGCAACCATGAAGGCGGACTCCGTCATATGTCGTCCATCTCGGTCCGTCGCCGTCACCGTCAGTCTCCTCGCCTTAGCCGGCATCTTCGTTCTGTCAGTCACCGCCTTCTGTTTACTCTCCTCCCAACCTCCTAATTCTACTGTAACAACGTTTTGTTTAAACTCCCTGATTCCAGTCAGCCGAAAGCTGAGAACAATCTCAGTCTCGGTCAGCCGAAAGATCTCTCAGTCACTGTTCGACTCAGCCGGTTTGGACGGCCGTAGCCTTCGGCTTCCTTCCACAGATGCTCAATCAGGTCAATTAGGTGCTCAAGAAATAAGCGGCGGGGAAGGAAGACTAGACGGCAAGCCGTTCCCACATGACGGAGAGGGACAGAATAAGCAGCCGGATCCGTCCAGATTTCCCCACTGGCGGCCGTGGCACTGTGTCAGGCACAAGCCCTTCGTTACTGTCACACGCAGGGGTTGCTCCTTGGCTGGTGGCTTGGACAGCGGCAACTGTAGCAGCAGTATCAGAGGCAGCAGCAACAGCAGCATTGATAGTCAAAGCAGCAGTGACAGTCAAAGCAGCACAGGCAGCAGCAGCAGCAGCAGTATGGGTAGCAGTCATAGCAGCAGTTTCCTTAGCAGAAACAGTTTCTCTCCCAGCAGCATCAGTGTCCCCAGCAGCAGCAGCAGCATTGCTAGCAGCAATAATGTCTCCGATATAGACATGCCTCTGGTTCACCAGCTGCTGCTGCACGCCGCTACAGTGTACAGTGAAGACACCGCGTCGCTACATGCATGGAACTGCTCCCAGTGCGTGCTGCCCGAGATGAGGAGCTTTCACTTGTTCCAGATCATCGTGGAGCCCACTGCTCGCCTGCAGGTGAGGCCATGCATGCAAGTCAGGACCGATCAAGTAGCCTAGGCTAGCCCAGGGAGAAGCTGTGCTGTGTGACCGCGTCGCTGCACGCGTGGAGCTGCTCCCAGTGCGTGCTGCCCGAGATGGGGGGCTTCCACCTGTTCCAAATTATCGTGGAGCCCACTGCACGTCTACAGGTGAGATCAGGCCCAATAAATCGAAGTAGCCTTGGGTAACCCCATGCTTTGCTGCATGCGTGGAACTGCTCCCAGTGCGTGCTGCCCGAGATGAGGGGATTCCATCTGTTCCAGATCATAGTCGAGCCCACTGCACAACTACAGGTGAGGGATAAAGTAGCTTGTTGAACCCAGTGCGTGTTCTGCTCCCAGTGCGTGCTGCCCGAGATGAGGAGCTTCCACCTGTTCCAGATAATAGTCGAGCCCACTGCTCGCCTGCAGGTGAGGGTTAGGCCCAAGTAGGGTAGCCTAGGTCATCAATGTAGCATTCAGAGGCACCTGCACCTCGTCTCTCCGCAACTGGATTGCCGATCCACTTAGTTGCCCCTGTTTCCTAGTTCCTGTCTGTCCCTTCCCTCTGCTCCCCCCTGCTATGCCAGGCCTATATCGGGTGGGACCCGCCCTCCCGACTCAACTTCGCCGCATTCAGGGGCAGGTGCACTTCCTTTCTGCGCAGCTGGATTGTTGATCTCGAGGCCCTCCCCCGCTCCCTCTCAGTTACCCCGTTTCGAACCCTCTTGTGTGGCTACTTTCCTGCCAACAGGCCTATGTAGGTTGGGACCCACCTTCTCAACTGATCGTGGTCGCATTCAGAGGCACCTGCACCTCGTCTCTGCGCAACTGGATCGCCGATCTCGAGGCCCTCCCCCGCTCCCTCTCCTACCCCGGTCTGTGGCACGCCCGCGTGCACCGCGGCTTCTACTCCGCTCCACAGACCACAGACACTCTCTTATCTCTCTCCTTTCTCTTCTGCACTCTCGTTCCCTTTTCCCCCGTGCTTCCATTCCAGGCCTACGTGGGGTGGGACCCACCCTCACGACTCATCATAGTGGCATTCAGAGGCACCTGCACCTCGTCTCTGCGCAACTGGATCGCTGATCTCGAGGCCCTCCCGCGCTCCCTCTCCTACCCCGGTCTGCGCCACGCCCGTGTGCACCGCGGCTTCTACTCGGCCTACCACTTCACACGCCTGCGCCCCGCCGTTGTTCACGCGGTGCTGTTCCTCATGACGATCTTGCCGGGAAGCTTCCGAGTGGCCTTCACTGGACACTCTTTGGGCGGGGCGCTCGCTACTCTCAGCGCTCTCGACCTGCAGGTGGGTGGATTGTGGTGAGGGAGGGGAGGTGTCTCTATGTGTCTCTATGTGTCTGTGTGTGTCTGTGTGTGTCTGTGTGTGTCTGTGTGTGTGATAGAGGGTCTCAAGAGTCCCCACGCCTGGGTCCACCGCGGCTTCTACTCCGCCTATCACTTCGCTCGCCTGCGCCCGGCCGTCGTTCACGCGGTGCTGTTCCTCATGACGATCCTGCCGGGAAGCTTCCGAGTGGCCTTCACTGGGCATTCCCTGGGAGGGGCTCTCGCGACCCTCAGCGCTCTCGACCTGCAGGTGGGTGGGTGGGAAGGAAGAACGGAGTCTGTCTGAGATTGTGTCTGCCTGGAATGGTGTCTGTTGCCCCCTCTCCTACCCCGGTCTACGCCACGCCCGTGTGCACTGCAGCTTCTACTCTGCCTACCACTTCACTCGCCTCCGCCCTGCTGTCGTTCACACGGTCCTGTTCCTGATGACAATACTTCCGGGATCATTCTGAGTGGCCTTTACGGGGCACTCCCTTGGAGGGGCCCTGGCGACTCTGAGTGATCTCGACCTGCAGGTGGGTGGGGTGGTGTGCGGTCAACGGTGCTGCAGGTGAATTGACAATGGTTGAAACGCCCTGCTATGGTGCACACCGTGCTGTTTCTGATGACCATCCTTGCGGGATCCTATCGCGTGGCGTTCACAGGGCATTCCCTGGGAGGGACCCTGGCGACTCTGAATGCTCTCGACCTGCAGGTGGGTGGGGGGAAGGGATTGTGTCTGTTCGAATTGTGTCTGTCCTCCAGAAGTGACAGTCTGTCTGATAGAGGGTCTCACAGTCCCCAAGGGTCTCAAGTGGGCAAACATGTTCGTGACAACCTCGCTTCAACAAACCCCGCTCTCTTCCCCCTTTTACCCCCCCCCTCCTCCCTCAAACCCCCCACCCCCCACCACCTTTTTCACCCGACCTGCTGACTCGTACCTTCAGGTGTCCTACGGTCTCCCATCTCCCACCATTTGAGTCGTTACCCTCGGCTCACTTCAAGTTGCCTCAAAATGTTTTACTTTTGAGGCGCCTCAAAAGTCGTTACCCTTGGCTCACTTCAAGCGGGCAACCATGTTTTTGTGAACAAATATTTCTCCCCTCCTCCCCCCCCCCACTTTCAAACCCCTCTTTCCCAACGTCACCCACCCGCCACCTTTTTCACCCGACCTGCTAACTCGTATCTTCAGGTGTCTTACGATCTCCCATCACCCGCCATTTGAGTCGTCACTTTTGGCTTCCCTCGAATGGGCAACGCTGCATTTGCTGCATATCCCCCCTTACCACTTTTACCCTTTGGTGTGTGCTTACTCCCGTCTCCCCAGGTGTCCTACGACCTCCCATCACCATCCATTCGAGTCGTCACCTTTGGCTCGCCTCGAGTGGGCAACGCTGCATTTGCCGCCTACTTCTGGCAGAAGGTTCCTGGAAGCACCCGCGTGACCAACTGGAAGGACCTTGTGCCGCACTTGCCGCCCGCAACCATCGGTTACCACCACGTCGCCACTGAAGTGAGTTTTGTTTTTTAGACGATGGGTTTTTTTACATCTTAGAAATGAACGTCTGGCCCGCAATAATTGGCTACCACCACGTGGCCACCGAGGTGGTTAAAAATAATGTGTATATGCATATATGTATATGTACATGTATATATAACTGGAAAGTACACTTGCCGCCCGCAACCATCGGTTACCATCATGTGGCCACCGAGGTGAGATGTTTCTTAGCATGATCAGATGGTTACTCTCAAGGCATCTCACGAATACACTTGTCACTCGCAACCACTGGTTACCACCACGTGGCCACTGAGGTGAGAGGGAGTGAGAGTCGCGAACCAAGTTGTGCGAGAGGTGAGTTTGGAGTCGAGACGGCTCTACAAGCACCCGCGTGACCAACTGGAAGGACCTTGTTTGTGCCGCACTTGCCACCTGCAACCATCGGCTACCACCACGTGGCCACTGAGGTGAGTAAAACTATATATATATACATATATGTATAGTACTGGAAAGTACACCTGCCGCCCGCAACCATCGGTTACCACCATGTGGCCACTGAGGTGAGAGGGTTGACTCAAGACGGCTCTACAAGCACCGTGTGACAACAGGCACCCGCGTAACCAACTGGAAGGACCTTGTGCCGCACCTGCCTCCCGCAACCATTGGTTACCACCATGTGGTCACTGAGGTGAGAGGGTTAAAATAATAATATATTATGATAATAAAATTACTCATGTAAAAATATTCTTGCCACCCGCAACCATCGGTTACTACCACGTGGCCACTGAGATGAGATCAATATCGTTTTTATTATTCTTTGTTATTGTATTGTAATTTTCATGGCATCTCAAGAATACACTTGCCACGCCCGCCACCATTGGTTACCACCAAGTGGCCACTGAGGTGAGAGGGAGTGAGAGTTGCAAAGCAAGTTGTGCGAGAGGTGAGTTTGGAGTTGAGACGGCTCTACAAGCACCCGCGTGACCAACTGGAAGGATCTTGTGGTGCACTTGCCGCCCGCAACCATTGGTTACCATCATGTGGCTACTGAGGTGAGTAAGTGAGTAGCAAAGCAAATTGTGCAAGAGGTGAGTGTGGGGTCGAGACGGGGGCACCCGCGTGACCAACTGGAAGGACCTTTTGCCGCACTTGCCGCCCGCAACCATTGAGCAACCGTTACCACCACGTGGCCACTGAGGTGAGAGGGTTAAAATTATTATGTATTATTATAATAAAATTACTCATGTAAAAATATTCTTGCCACTTGCAACCATTGATTACCACCACGTGGCCACCGAGGTAAGAGTTTCTTTATACATATGTTATAATTGTTATCTAGGCATTTAAAATTCACTTCCCGCCTGCCCGCAACCATCGGTTACCACCACATGGCCACCGAGGTGAGATTTTATTTGTTTTTCTTGTTTGATTTTTATTGTAATAGTTATTATTTTCAAGGCGTCTAAAATATACACTTGCCGCCTGCACCCAGTGGTTTCCGCCACGTGGTCACCAAGGTGAGATGTGTAGATTTTTAAAGAAGTACGGCAATTCTCCATAATTCCCCAAGATCTGTTTTGTTTTACCACATCCCTCCATCCCCCGTTCCCTCTCACTGCAGGCCTGGATAATCCCGGACTCTCTGTGCACAATGTCTCCTTCAGTCCATCCAGTTCAGCTTCACCTAGTGTGCAGCAGGGGCATTCTGACCCCGTCTGGTTACCACGCCCGCTGCTGCAGCGCCAATCTCACCTCTGTGAAGATCAGTATGTTTCCACATCACGGGACATACTGACTGCCGTATCCCCTCTATCTCCCGTTCCCTCTGCAGGTGTGGATAATCCCTGACTCTCTTCACAACAGCAGCTCCTTCACTTCATCCAGTTCAGCATTACCAAGCGTGCAGCAGGAGCGTTCAGACATGGTCTGGCTACCACGCCCGCTGATGCAAAGCCATTCATTGCCGTTCCTGTATTCTCTCTCCCGTTTCGCACTGCAGGCGTGGATAATCCCCGACTCTGTGCACAACATCTCCTTCAGTTTATCAAGCTCAACTTCACAAAGCGAGCAGGAGCGTTCTGGCCTTACCCTCTCGTTACCATGCCGATCGTTGCAACGCCGATCGTTGCAACGCCGAGTGTTTCAACGTCAATTTTTACGACACGGAACGTTACAGCGGCAGCTGTTGCATGAGCGGACGCTGTTGCTTGACGAAAGAGGCAGCCAGGCCAGACATGAAGGTGGGTCTTCACATGTGCATGAGGCAAAACACTTGAAGGCGTCTCAAAAGTCACAAATTGTTACACCAGTAGCTGTTGCATGAGCAGTCGCTGTTGCTTGAGCAGACGCTGTTGCTTGAGCAGACGCTGTTGCATGAGCAGACGCTGTTGCATGAGCAGTCGCTGTTGCTTGAGCAGACGCTGTTGCTTGAGCAGACGCTGTTGCATGAGCAGACGCTGTTGCATGAGCAGACGCTGTTGCTTGACGAGAGACACAGCCACGCCAGACATCAAGGTGCGTTTTCACATGCATGCACATGGCATGCCTGCCCCATCGCACACACATCTGCACACATCTTGACAAAATGGGCAGCCATCAAGGGGAGTTTTTACATGCATGCTCATGAGGTGACACATCCCGGTTCCCTCGCCAACCCCCCTCCCCACTTTTCTCTTCTCCCGCTGTTTCACCTGTTCACGCACGCATGCATGTATACACATGCATGTATACACATGCATCTATACACATGCATCTATACACATGCATCTATACACATGCATCTATACACATGCATCTATACACATGCATCTATACACATGCATCTATACACATGCATCTATACACATGCATCTATACACATGCATCTATACGCTTTTCTTCCTCCTTGCCAGAAGCTCATGCATGTGCACACACACATGCACACACATGGATGCACATAAACACACATGCACACACATGCTCACACACACACGCACATCCATGTGCGCACTCATGCACTCATGCACACACACATACACACACACACACACACACACACACACACTCTCAAGCACACGCATATTCACAGTACGCACACTCGCACCTCTCATTCCGCTGTTATCACCCCACCTTCCACGTGGCATGCAGGTGATCTGACGTGGCACGTGCACCAATGTGACGAGACAGGGGAAGATCCCTGCTGCAGCAGGTGGGTGGCATTGTATGTGTTAGCCTCATGACCTGTGCATGTACGGTACATCAGTACATGTGTAGCATCAGTACCAGTACATGAGTGGAAAAAGGGCAGCAGATAATTATGATGGATTATCTCAAAACCCGAGACATGCGAAGACCCTTGCTGCAGCAGGTGGGTTGTGCTGACGCCTAAGCATCAGTTCCAGTACATTGGTCGAAAAGCGGCAGCAGATAGGCAAGATAGGTTGTCTTGAAACTTCACATGCAAAGACCCCTGCTGCAACAGGTGGACTGCATCCAATTCTTTTCCTCGGTAACTGTAAATGAGCGGAAAGGGGCACCATTACTATTTTTTAGGCGCCTCAAAAATAGACTCCTGACACGCGGATTGTAGATAGACATTTTTTTTGCTGCTTAGGAACTTGGTTGTAGCTTTTCAAAGTTTTTGAGCTGCCTAAAAATGGGTGGCATTAAGCCTTACCTTCAGTATTCGTACAGGAGCGGAACAGAGGCAGCAGGTATGTGGGTGGCATTCGAGCCTTAGCATCAGTATTCGTACAGTAGCGGAAAAGATGCAGCAGGTAGGTTGTATGGGAACTCGAGGAAGGGAAAGACCCCTGCTCGTCACCTCTACCTCCAACACTGTTCCCCTACCCCCTATCGTGTTACGCCTACCTCCTGCCATGCTACCCATACATGAGGGGAAGAGAGGTGTCTTGAAAGCTTTAGCCCCAGGATTTGAGCCTCTCGCAGAACACCAATGTTGACCAGGATTTGAAGGGCGGCTAAGGTTCACGCGTAAAAAAAACCCACAGCGTACAAACCCCTCAGCGCGCACAAACTCAAAACGCTGAGGGGTTTGTACGCTGTGGATTTTTTTGACGCGTGTACCTTAGCTGCCTTTCATATCCTGGTCGAAATTGGTGCTCTGCCAGAGGCTTAAATAATGGAAGTGCTGGTTGTGGTACTGGTGATTTGGGCGAGGAAGGGGGAGGAAGAGGGCGGCACTATCGATCCTTTTCAAACCCTTCCATGCTTCTATCATCTCTCCACCTGCGAGGTCTGTAGTGGGCAATGGTACTGCCAACCACCTGGAGTATCTCAGTGCCTCTTCATGCTGCTAATGTCTCTCCGTCTTCTCTCTCCACCCCTCCATCCTCTCTACCCCTTCCCTCCTCAATCAGCTCCTAAACTACCAGGTCGGTAGTGGGCGACAGGGCGACAGCACTGCCAACCACCAGTGATACAACCCCGCCTTCCTCAACCCCGTTTCCTCTCCACTACTCGTTCAATCAACACGCCACCTGCCAGATCTGTGGTGGGCGACAGTATACCCAACCACCGGGAGTAGCTGGGTGTGTTGTCCCATGCTCTGGACTTATCTTTGACTCCCATCCGGCCCTCTTTCCTTGTTCCTTTTCAAAACCCCTTCTTCAATTATCTCTACACCTGCCAGGCCTGTGGTGTGCGACAGCATAGCCAACCATTTGGTGGACCTGGGAGTGCCGTCTTATAATACAGCCTCCTCTCCAACAACCCCTCCCTCATTCCCCCTCTCCTCCCCCACCTGCTAGATCTGTGGTGGGCTGCAGCATTGCCAACGACATGAGGTATCTGGGTGTGTTGTCCCATGCTCTGGACTTATCTTTGACTCCTATCCGCCCCTCCTTCCTCATTCCTTTCCAAAACCCCCTCCCTCTTCAATTATCTCTCCACCTGCCAGGTCTGTGGTGGGCGACAGTAAAGCCAACCACTTGGAGTACCTGGGAGTGCTGTATTATAATACAGCCTCCTCTCCAACAACCCCTCCCTCAATCATTCCCCCTCTCCTCCCCCACCTGTCAGGTCGGTGGTGGGTG